GTTTAATATCTGAGAGGTGAAAAGTCAACTTCACTGTAACATCATAGCATTTCATCAAATCCCCTCTGTGGCCACCGCTCAACACCAGAACTAGGAAGCATTAGTGACCATATTTCATATTTGGTCAGATAATGAAAGAGCAGAAGTTGAAGATGTTTGTGGATCTTAAAGGTTTTGAGAAGTTTTGGTTTCCAAGCAGCAGAATTCATTGTCTGTTAGCAAAGACATGGATATGAACAATGAAAACTGTAACCAGTTAAGAAATGTGTTTACTGTCCTACAAAAATGATGTGAGCTTGAATATTGGTTTAGTTTTTTGTTGTACAGTTAATATGTAAACTATTTGTTTTTATGTTATTAAAATCTCAGTAGATGCAATCTGTCATTTAACAAAACATGAATATTTGTTAAAAAAACATCTTAATGGACATACGTTTCTTTTCAAACAATTATCTGAAAACTTGCAGGTTTTTTTTTTTGCTGATTTAAAGACAGTAATATACGTACAAGAAATTAGCTAAACAGTTTGCATCAACGTCTTGAGTTCAGACTATCTACGGACAGTAAGTTGCTCACTAATGCAAAGTCAGCTGTTCAACAGCTTTCTCGTGTCGTGTTAGAGCATCGTTTGTGTGATCGGGTTTTAATCACCATCATCATGAACAAGAGTTTCACATGCCGATTTACTAATTGTTTTAGGAAGGTTTATCTCAATCGATAAAGACTGTTTATCTTGCAGTTGTGCTTTCATTAAGTAGGTCAAGTGAATTACTTTTCAGATTGTGTTCAGAAATTCAGTACGTGGACTGATTTCCTCTCTCAACCTGTACGAACTCAAAAGGATCCTCAGTTTGTTCATGTGAGTAAGTCCATGACTTGGTCCGAGAACCAGCGGGTCTCGGACATAACGTCCGGTATAGAAAACGGGTGGATCGGCTTGTTCAGAGATCCTGAGCTTTGCTGGTCTGATGGGAGCAGCTTCTATCAGGGTTCAGTCCCGTTTGGCTCAGTGACAGTCTTGTGTGGTTACACATCTCTGTACCGAGAGATGAAATGGATGCTCATGAGACGTCAAGTTAAGCTTCCGTCTGTGTGCTACAGCCTCCAAGGTGAGAGTTTGACCTTTATTCACTCACATTCATGTGCTTGATGTCACTACAGCAGTGTGTTTTGCACTAAATATTGATAGTAATGGAATCATTAATGAAATATAAACAGTGTTTATTGGGATTTTTCTCTGGTTTTGGACACTTTAGGATAATTGAACATGCCACAGGTCAGACTGATCCAGAAACATTACTGCTGTTCCTGAGAAACAAACGTAACAGAAGGTTCAAGGTCAATATCATGTTTACCCGACGGGCTGGTTTTGAAATTTGCTAAAAGTATTATTTAAATTCCATAATTTTAATTGCACAATATGAATTCAAATCATTTATCTGGATAACCTTGCCAAGAAGTTAAGCGATAGTTCAGGCTGGTGGTGCTTGGAGGTAGTTAGTAATGTAAATGAAGTGGTGATTAATTTTGATAATTACTTTATATCTGTAATGAAAAGAAAACAAGAAATCTGCCCTGTTTGTACATCCATCTGTCTTCAAGCAGTGCCTGCATGGTATCATCTTATTTGTTGCATTTGCATGGATGGCCTGAAAATACGCCACGTTGGACGGCGTGCTGTTACAAAAACCCATTTCCATACAGTAATCCACTGCAGCATGTTTGCATACAGAGAGCAGACCAATGATCTTTGTGAGCAGGACGGCAATTTCCATAGATTTCTATTATTAAGGCAGAGCCTCCTTTCCCTGTCCACAGAGCTGCATCATGATGGAGGGCGTCTGGCTGGGTGTCTGGTGTCTCTCAGGTCAGTCCACTATTCATTGTTAAACAGCGCGTGTGATTGGGTAATAATGGAAGAAAAGTACTTTGTTAATTTGAAGTTCTGTGTTTTTGTGGCAGGGTGGCTCATCCTCCCCGTCTGCCCCCTCCGTCACTACTACTTTGTCGACAAGCCTTTGACTTGGAGTGAAGCTCAGACCTACTGCAGACAGAAATACACAGATCTGGTCACCATTGAAAACGCGGCAGTGATGAGTCAAATCCAGGAACTGGTGTCATCTTCTCATCACAACACCGGCTTCTGGATCGGTCTGTACAGTACAATCAACTGGAAGTGGTCGGACGGGTTGGCAGGGAGCGGAGCCAACTACCGGAACTGGAGCAGCAAAGGACACGTATTTGCCATGAATAGATTCTGCGTGTATTCAAAGCATTCAGCGTGGTTCACTCGTGACTGCGGAGCACTTCAATATTTTGTCTGCCAGAACAGTAAGGACATAAATGACATAACTTTAACAACAAGTGCATTTTGGAAAATAATGTTTGTATTCAACCTTAAACAAAAATCAATTTGCTCAACAGTTTGCATCAATATTTGGAGTTTTTAATGTTTTATGTCCACCCAACAAACTATGTTTAGTTTAGGGAATGTACTTTTTCCATCTTGTATTTTTAACTACATTCGTTTATGCTACCAAAAGTTACATAAATTAAGTCGTTCAAAACAGTGTAGCCACATCATCGAAGAGCATCTTTTGTGTGTTAATTAGCATAATCATGAATGCAAGTTTTTAAATTGACACACTGACAAATTTAACTGCTACTTTTTTTTTGTTTTTTATTTTTTTAGGAAGCTTCATCTGAATCTAAAAAGCAGTTTTTATCTTGTAAATGCGCTTGTTGTTGAGTGATGGGAACAGGTCACCATGTGAACTCATCTCCCCTGTCAAGCCACAGGAATCCAAGAGAATCGGCAGTTTGTTCGCGTGACGACGCCCATGAACTGGTCCACTGCGCAGGCGTACTGCAGGGAGAACTATGCCGACCTGGTGACTGTGACCAGCGCCGACGAGAACCAGCAGGTCTGGAAGCTACTGGCCCATTTGGGATTTGTATGGCTCGGCTTATTCAGAGATCCTGAGCTTTACTGGTCTGATGGGAGCAGCTTCTCCTGGTCCAACTTCATTCCATTTGGAACCTTAATGGGCTGGCAGACAGTCTTGTGTGCTTTCACGTCTGTGAAGGAAGAGATGCAATGGAGGCTCAAGAGCTGTGAAGCAAGGTTACCGTTTGTGTGCTACAGCCCTCATGGTGAGTGTTTGACTGACCTTTTGTCAGTCTTTTGCATTCATGGGCTTGATGTCACTAAAGCAGCTCCACGTGTTTCTGGTCTATGTTTCTAAACAGTCACAAGGCAGGTGGTGAAGCTGAGGATCGAACTGGACGACTCCTCTGTGGATCTGAACAACCCTGCCGTCAAAGAAGAACTCCTGAAGAAGGCAAGTGTCCAAACTCCACCCTGAGATGCCAGAAACATTCAGAGTAGATCAAGTTTTTAGAATGTCCCTAGTTATCCTGTCTTTAAGAAAAACAGTGTGGGGGAAATAAAAAAAAAAAGAAAGAAAACATGACTAGAACACATTGCAGAACTTTCTCAGAACGTTTTTTGGAATGATTTCCGCCATGTTTGTCCTCCAGCTGCAGGCCAGGCTGGAGGAGGACGGAGTGAGCGGAGCCGCCCTGAAGTGGAGACAACAGCCTGACGGGAAAGTGTTCCACAAGGAGGAGGATGAAGGAAACCCGCCTGCATGTTAGCGGAGCTCCTCAGACACCTGCGTGTTCACCAAAGTGCAACGGCGCCCTCTTGTGTTTGAACTGGTGAATTACTGCCTTTGACTTTGTGGTGTTTTTCGTTGGCTCCTGCTACTCACCGGTTTTGTGTGCTTCCTTTCACAGCAAACTCTGGAGCTGTGCTACTAGTTTTTAGTGTATTGGTTTTTAGCTCGCAGCTTTATTTGTATTTCTGTTTTTTTGCAGAGCAGCTCTTGATGCATTGTATCTGCTGTGTGTGTTTGAATCATTTAAACTAACTAAATAAATAATCTAAGAAAAAGTCAAGTCTGTTTCGTGTGAGGAATGTTCTTCTTATGCATCCTGTAATGTCACATTTGGTGCTTCCACTCATTATTGAACAGCTGAGCAGCTCTTTACCCTGCAGGGAGGGTCACCAGAGTTCAACCAGCCAGTCCACATGAGATTTAGAGGCAGCTTGTATAATATTACCATGAATGATAACCACAATGCTGCCAGATGGTTTTTATTTGTTTATCAGTCTCTAAGCTCACCGGTGTCAGAATGGAGTCATACTAGTGAACTGAACTGTGTTCTGTCTCTATCAAACCTAACAGTTCTAGTTCTTCGTGATGCATTTTCAGGTCATGTTCGAAATCTCAGCTATTCATATTTAATCACAACAGCCACATTTAATAAACATCCCACTGCCATGTATGTACTTTAAATATGTAAGCATTGTCCAGAAATGTGCGACTGACATGATCGTCTCATGAAGTCACAGAAATAGTTCCACAAAGGCAGAAAACGAATCTGAAAGAAGTCCAAGTCTGAGGCTTTTTCACATCCGCAAATATGACCAAGCACGGCATGAATCGGATGTTCATGCTGGAACCTCCCTTCAGAAAAACTCATCACCAGAGAGGTGTCGTCAAAATGTATGTCCAACCATCCAACAAGCATTCCTCAGGTGTCACATGCTGGCTCTTAGCCACTACATTGTAGTGCACAACTCCTGTGGGTTCAGATGTCTCTAGTCACATTATCCACAAACTCAAAGTCTCCACAAGTCACCTTAAGATGAGCCTTGTGTTACAAAAGCAGTGCAGCCTCAAACAATCATCAAATTAAACGCCATCCACCTCACTTTAAATTACCTGCAGAAGACTGTGCCAGAAGGAGGAAAGTATGAAGGAAAAGCAGCGCTCGAGAGTCCCCGAAGATCATAAATAGATATAAATACTGAAACTTCATAGACGAAAGCATGTCTGCTCTATGCTGACTTGTTTCTCTTGCCGCACATTTTTCCCGCCGGTATGAGAGTTAAGTTTCAAAGACTTCCCTTGAAACACAACTTGTTCAGATGTTTCATTTATCTCAAAGTTGGAGTCACTGCACTCTGCACATTTTGGCAATTGTTGTTTTCATGCATTTTCTTCTTTAGCCAATTTCAGAACTTCGAAAAAAAAAAACAAACATGCAGAACTTTCACCCAACGGTAACTCTGGACTCGGGAAACCTCATGGTGAAAAATGTACTTATCTGGATCTGATGCAGTGAAGATCTTTTTCCTTTCAGGCACCAAATTTACCAAATGATGCATTTCCACATAACTAAACTCAATGTGTCAAACTGTTGTATTTTAGTATTGAACGCATGAAAGAAACGCATGACGAATGACGCTCTTTATTCTGAAACGAAGCGGTACTCAAAAGAACTCAGAAATTTCGTCTGTGCAGTATTACGCGAGAATATCACAAAAAAGAAAAAAAAATCAGTTGAATGATTATTTTACAGCAACTTTTTTAAAAATTGGATCAATAGAATCAACATATGCAGCATCTTCCTCAGTCTCCACAGCTGTGACAATCGCTTGTGGCTCCACCTACGAGGGATATTTAACCACTTAAATTTGTATTTCATGAGCTAACTCTGCATTTTCCTGCTCCCACCGACTATAAACAGACGTTTCACCAACACATTGCTCCTCTGTGTACTGTTTACTGTATTTTGCTCTCAATATTCCTAATTTGTGTCAAATACTTGCATACTGTAGTACTAAAAGTTTAGTTTTTACACAGGATGTGATGCAAACTTGTGAATTTGAGCCACTATTTTTTGCCGACAAGATCCCACTTCCAGTCTCAGAAATGTGTGCTTGTGCATGACTGACTCATAACCGATTGTACTTGGAAGGAGCGCGAGCTGCCACTGAGCTGCTCCGGGCACTGTGTACACGACGACGGCTTCATTTGAATCCGTCTTTGTTTACGAATTGTTTTCATCCTGTCAAATGTAATTGAGTGGTAACATGTAGGACAGCCGAATCTGCGCTATGCTCAGTCCAACGGTCTCACTTGTTTTATTCCTTAACCGTCCAAAACTGCAGCTTGTTGTCTCTCTGATGCTACAAACTGAATCAGAAACAATTTGCACAGATTTGCTGGATTGAAAAGGCTTCGGTTTTGGCTGCATAACGTCTCTTTGTGGTTACAAACTGCTGATGAGTCCTGCAGCAAGACAGTAACGTAAGTAGGGGCTCATCTGGTGTCTTTAGAACTCTTTTTTGGAGACTCAACTTCAGAGTTTTCAGACTTGTACTCAGTCTACCTGCTGATTCTAAATTACCTGGAGGTGAACGTTTGGGTGTGATTGATTGTCTGGACCTGTGATCGAGTGACAACCTGTCCAGGTGAAGCTGCCTTTCACCCACTGAAGGGTGAAGCAGGAACGGGTAGGGATGGATTTGCATGGTTTAGGTTACAGTAACAGAGTCACGCAGAGTCCCAAGTTTACTTTGCATCATGCAAAATAAAATACAACAATAATCCGTGCAGAGTCCTGCTGCTGTGGCACAGGAGCATCTTCAGCTCAGGCAGAAGCATCGCTGCACATCTGAAGCTGACAGCAGTCTCACTCAAGAGAGAAAATCAGAAGACAAGGTGAGATTTATTCATTTTTTGACTTAATGATTTTCATTTTGATACACCTTCCCCGTGCAAACATGAGTTGGTCTGTATTTTCCAAACTGTTGAAATTGAAGCGGCACTCCACTGCAAGCTAACGTCACTCGACACTCGGGATGCTTTCAGGCATTTTTAGACATTAAGTTCAAGTTTCTCTTTTGTTGCAGTTAACTCGCTCATTTCCTCTGACAGAAACACAGATAATCACCTGTTCTAGTAGCTGTTATAAATGCATGTCTGTAGTGTTTCTCTGCTGGTTTTTCGTAGATGAGTTTAGCTCTGAAATGTTGTTTGTTCCATCAGCTGACACGTAAGACGAATGAATAAATCACATCTTTACAGCGTGATTCCACACACGCATGCTTGTTGTTCTTCAGCTTTTATTTGCCTTTCTCCACACTTCTTGTCTCCTTATTAGTCTTCTACATTTCTCCACAGATCCACAGGAGATATGTTGCTCAACGGGACAATCAATCCAAGTGTTCAGCTCTACCACTGCGCCACTGACAATCTCAGCTTGTATGTGTCCACCTTCATTTTTGGATTCAGAGTTATCTTCATCCTCCCTCTCTCCACCTTCGTCCTCTACGTGGGTCACCACAGACGGCGGCAGCATCGTTCCCCTAAAAGAGCGACTCACTCCGACGTCTTCACCTACCACGTCACTGCCATGCAGCTGATCTGGGTCTTGGGGAGTTTGTGTTACTACGGCGGCTCATATGCTAAACATCAAGCAATGGTAACAGTAGGAATCTGTACGTCTGTCATCGTTTCCAATGGAGAGATTTTTTTTCACGTCCTCACCTGCGTGGAGCGCTACCTGGCTGTTGTTCACCCCGTCACCTACATGGGGCTGAGAAGTGTCTGTGTGGTCAGGATCAGAAACATCTGCATCGGATGTGTTTGGCTGCTGTGCTTTGGACTGCTGAGCGCTCAAATTGTAACCTTGCCTCACACCAACCCCATCCCGTTGCTCTGTATTCTGGTTTTCTCCCTAATAGTCATGTCTTTCTGCAGCGTGTCTGTTCTCTGTGTTCTGATTCGTCCCGGTCCGGGGGAAGGAGGCGGGGAAAAGGAGCGGGTCGACCAATCAAAGCAGAGAGCATTCTACACCATCACAGCCATATCGTGTGCCGTGTGGTTGTGGTTTGTCGGATTCCTTGTTGCCCTGGTTGTGGAGATGTTCCCTCAGCTGAGAAACATGGTCAGCTGTTTGATGATGTCGTGCGCTAACTTGTTGAACCTGCCCAGCGGTCTGGTGTTGCCTCTGCTCTATCTACACAGGGCAGGAAAACTATCACTGTGCTGGTAAAAGAACTAGTACAGATTGATGTTCTCTATAATCACTTTTGTGTTTACTCAGCTTTTCAGAAAGTTAGGCGCAGTAGATGCTTTAGTGTTTGCTAGTCATCGATACTTAACCGGAACAGATGCTCTCCATCTTCATGCAAACATTTATTTAGCTGGTCGCTAACACTTTAAATGTTTGTTTTTTTCAGTAATATATTTTGAGGATATTAGAGGTGTTTGCTTGAAGTTGTTGTGTATTGTACTGTGGCTTTGGATGCTTAAACTTTATACCTCTTCAGCTCCTTGATGTAGTCAAGCTCAGCAAAAATGTCCTCATAATCCAGATATGTCCTCATTGCAACACTTTGCACTGGTCCTCAGATTGACTGCAATACAAGCACACACACAGCCAACAGGTTATTTGAATGCTGTAAATGGCCTGCACTTACATAGCGCTTTTCTACTTTAGCGGCACTCTAAGCTCTTTACAGTGTGCAGAGCTGCCATGCAAGGTGCTGCCTGGCACTGGGCGCAACTTCAGGTTCAAGGTCTTGCCCAAGGACACTTTGACTGAGGAGGGGCCGGGGATCAAACCACCAACCTTGTGATCAGAGGACAACCTGCTCTGCCACCTGAGCCACAGCCGCCCAGACCAAATCTAATCTGTTATGTCCAAATCTGTTTGTGTGATGCAGTTCAATGTTATCAAATGACAATAAATGAGTCAACATCTGATTTGGTTGCAGAATCTCTGATGTTCACGCATGC